CAGGTCCCTATGAGATCCTTGTTCCTCGTAAATATTAAAAATATATAAAAAAAAATATTAAATTTAATATAATTTAAATATTTAACTCATAATCATAAATATATCTATTACTCAATATAAATTTTAATTTAATATTAAAATCTAATTATTTTAAATCAAACTAAACTCAACACATTATTTTTTACTTTAACTTAATTATTTAAAATATTTTATTTTAAAATAATAAAATAAAATAGTTAAATTAATTTTATGAATATAGATTAGGAGGAGGTAAGGAATCCTCACGAGTAAAGGGTACAGGAAACAGATTTTACCTCTTGTAAAATATTCTCACAAGGATCGCCATCCTTGGGATCCACAAGCATGGAATGAGGAGGCTATCCCCAGCCCCATAGGCCTTTGTTGCCACTCTACCTTTTATAATTTTTTATTGATTTATCTTATAATGGTTAAACTTGCCAAATTTTGTACGTCATAATTCTTTATTTGTCGAAATAGTACATGTGACAAAGTGCAACAACCCATACAAGAGAGGTATGCATAAGACAAAGGGAGGTTGAGGCCAACGTCTTCTAACACAAGTACTGCTCCTTTTTGCATACCACCTAACACAGATGAGCCCCTTGTCCTTGGTGTTTTATCTTTGTCCTATCCTTGGGTACCAAGTTTGTGTTGCAGCCATACTTGGAATATCTTATCCAACTTTGCAGGTCTTATCCAAGAGCCTTTTTTTCTATCAAACTTGGGTAGTCAGCTATTTCTCAAGACCATGTAGACCAATAAGAAGTCACCATGTTTATAGGAAGTATTCAACTAATAATATTGACATATATAGTTCGAGCATTTTAATGAATTTCGTATTGATTTTTTTTTTTTTTTTTTTTTTTTTTTTTTTTGTGACGGTTGTTTTAGATACTTCCAGCCTCACTGAGAAACCGAACCAAACAAACACAGGTCTGTCTGTGGCAGTAGCAGCAACCGAACACTAAACAACAGCATGACAATGGCAAAGAAATTGGCAACAGAAAAGGAATACCAAGATTTAAGGATACCGAACTTGTTGGCTATGGTTCAATTCTTTAGAGAGGTAAATAAAAAATTAATTCTTATAAATTATTTAGTTTTGGGTGAATGAATTTCGTTTAACCAAATGTGAGAATAAATTATTAATTAGTCTCAAGGAGTAAACCTAACCAGGGACACTTGACCAATAAACCCAAACTTAAAAATCAATTAAATGAAGCCTAACTATGCCTAGAAATGCTAACAGAGCTGGAATATATATATTCTTTGAGTTTTGTTACTTTTTAAATGAAAATTCAATTTTGCAGACAAAAAAAGGAGTAAAATAACAAAGCGGGTGACCCGTTGGCCGGAATTCAACCCGTGACCTATAGTGGTGGGCTTAGGGTCCGTTTTCCTTGACCTATGAGGCTGTGACCCATATTTGATTCTACACTCGTAGGATTTGACATACGTTGAACAAGCCATTGCCTAACCAAACCACCCATTTACAGTGTATCGTTATGGCAAAGAGGGCACACAATCTAGGTTAAAACCACCCATAATGATAATGGGAAACGCATAACTACATTTGCAAAATGTAGAATTTGAACTTAACAATAAGAAGTTAATGAGTTTGAATCTTATCAACTAAGTCAATTCAGATGAGAATTATAACAAAAATTTTAATTCACTAATAAATATATTACATTTGAAAAAGTAATTTATAGTTTAGATAGTAAAATATTGACTTTTAAATGGGGAGGGACTTCTGATATTAAAGGTCATCCTGCCATTTAAGGATTTTTATTTTATAATTTAAATTGTAAAATAGCAGACTCTATTACATTTTAAGGTTTTTTTTTAGGTTGCAAATTAACATATAATATATAATATTTGATGTGTCTTGTGTCACAAAATTTATTAAGTATTTAAACAATGTTTCTTTCAAATGTAAATAATAAAGGCACCATGTCTTGTAGGCTAGTTGATAGATGCACTTAATGCCTTGATATTGGCCAAGGTTGGATTCATGGCATTGCCATGCCAAAATTTCCCATCCCCTCACCTCAAAATTGTACTTGTTAAAAAAAATGTAAACAAAAGAGGTTTATTTGATATTTATGATCCATTTTTTGAAGGCTTTTTTCTTTTAGAATTGTCAAAATCACAATCCTAACTACGATGCAAAGGTGAGATATGATTTACATAAATTTGTAGGATTTTAACTCAAAATAAGTTTAAATTAGAGGTTTTTTTTTTCAAGTTTAAACAAAGATAAAGAATACTTCAAACTGCCATCTAAAAAAAAATTTGTTGAAAAAAAAAAAGATAATAATTTAAACATTATAATTCAATTATTTTTCATTCCTTCCTCATCTTTTATTGCATCTCCATTTTTCTCATCTTCCTAATCATCGCCGAAAAAAGTCCATTAGATAAATAAACCAGAAAATGACGAAAAAAATGAAATATTAAAGAAGTTAAGGATAAAAAATGACTAAAATAAAAGTTAAAGGACCAAATTCACTTTAATCCCAAATTTACTTTATTTTTTCAGTTATTAGAGACCTTCATTATTTTAGTATTTGGATTGAATTAAGGTCTAGAGCTAAATATACAAGAATTTGGGTTTTAAAATTTGATTTGGATTGGATTAAGACCCCAGCATCTAAATCTATTAATTAGAATGTGGGTTTTAAGATTTGATAGACGAAAAATTGAATAAGGAAGATTGAGCCTTAAGAGACGTTATAGTTGGATATCTTTTAGACATTTAAATGGTGTTAAAATTTTTTAAGGTTAAAATATTAATTTCATCGCTCAATTTTTAAATTTATACTAAAATTATCATTAAACTTTATAAAGTACCAAATTTGTAACAATTTAGTCCTTGCACTTTGAAAACAAGTACCAATTAGATCTTGAACTTTAATTATAAGTATCAATTTAGTCTTTTAATTTTAATTAGATGTAGATCTAATGTATAAATAGAAATATGTCATGGTAACTAAATATAGTTGTTTAATTTTACATGTCATTAGCATTTTAAAGAAGAATTAATTTTTTTGGTAAGATAATGAGATATGTGATACTTTCATTAACACAGATTATTTTCGTACTAAAAATTAAAATTTAAGGATAAACAACTACATTTGGCTTTCAATTTAGTCTTTTCATTTTAATTAGATGTAGATCTAATATATAAATAGAAATATGTCATGGTAGCCAAATATAGTTGTTTAATGTTACATGTCATTAGCATTTTAAAGAAGAACTAATTTTTTGGTAAGATAATGAGATGTGTGATACTTTCATTGACAGAAAGATTATTTTGGTACCAGAAATTTAAATTTAATGATAATTTTGATAATTTTTAAAGTTCAATAACAATTTTAATACATATCTAAAAGTTGAGGGACTAAATTGGTATTTTAAACTTTTTTTAAAATTATGTATGTAAAGATTATTATGCCCAACTCTGGTTTAGATTCGAAATTGTGACGATTCAAACCCCAATTTCATTGTCACCGATGTATATATATATATATCATTTCAACCGTGCACATAAGATCTTGTTTGGTCCCTTCTAAAATTTCCCAAAACCATGAAATAAAGCATGTTAATTAATGAATGGAACAAAACAGGCCCTACCTTTGAATGAGACCCGTTTCCGCCCCTGATAATTTAAATTAGTGAGACATAACCCATGAGAATTTTCCCCATATATGTAACCATTGGGCCGGCATAATTATGAGTTTGTCCAAAAAGAAAAAAAAAAAAGAAAAGGCAAAAAAGAGATCGATCTTACAGTTGTTACAAGCAAATTTTTGGCTTTATTTTCTTAGTTTCTAAGTGAATAGAGTATCTGTAATAAACATGTCTTCTGCCTGCCCCAAAGAAACCAACATTTGGGAGGGTTAAAAAGGAAGAAATGCTTCTTCCCTTTGCTAGATAGAGAGAAGAACAGGGCATGTGCTAAGGCAATTAGGTAGCCAGTCACAACCCATAAGAAATAGCTCCATGTGATGCAATGCAATTTACTTCTCCTCATTTTTTCTCCTTTTTAATTTAACTTAAAAGTGAAAAAAAAAAAATTATTTTGCAGACCTGGAAAACAGCTAATAAGTTTTTGTCTTTTGTTCATAAAAAGACAAGTAATCCAAAAGAAAACACCAAGAGAATTCACCTTACTTTTCAACTTAATTAAATTTGTGAAAGTTTTAGTCCTAAACCCAATAAATCTGTTGGTCAAAAACACCCAATAAATTTGAGTTGACAAAAAGAATTTCTTTGTAGATCTCATATGGTTTTGTTTTAATTATATAACTTCAGCTGAGCTCAAAAAAAAAAAAAAAATGAGCTGACAAAACCTTGACTTAGCTGTAAGAAAGAAGGCTTAAATCGTTGAAGTTTCAGGCTCTATGTCTGCTTTGTATTTGTAGCTTAGTTTAGTAAATTTTTTATTCTATAGCAAAAAAATGATCATACCTAATTATAAAACAGTGAGTTTCCTGAATATAGCACGGGCTTGATCATTCTGATTTTGCATATTGCAAACTCATTTAATAAAATATTTTTTTTATTAAATCTTGATATTTAAAAATTATATTAAATTCTGATTAATTTAAAATTGAACTGCATCAAATTCTAAAAAAAAAAATTCTTTCAACACTTATTTTTTTATTTATAATATTTAAATTCAAAATTTTATTTAAAGAAAATTAAATTCCTTTTACTTAAATTAATGTGTTGTTGGTTATTCAATAAAATATTAATTAGTTAATATTTAGACAAAAACTAATAGTTTACTTAATTTAAAATAAGGAGAGAATAAATTATTATAACCAATTGAATTATTTCCTTAGCTTAATAATTTAATTTAATTTAATTAATTGAAATAAAATCACTTTCCCTTTCTCTCCTCCCTCTTTCTTCATTTCTCTCCCGATCAAACACACTATAAAAACAGAAAGCAAGAATAATAAAAAATTCAAGCTAGTATGATTGGTTTATAAATCTATAGAACAAAATTACATTCAAATCCCACCAGAATTACATTTCAAATCCCCATGGGGTAAATTCTAAAATAATTCTCCCAAATTTTTTTTTTTTGAAATCAAACTACTATTTTCTACCTCCACCTTCAACTTTAAAAGGTCAAGAAGTTAACAAGCAATCAAACCTATGATTAAGAGGAAAAAAACAATTTTTTTTTAAAGAGAAAATTTTAGAAATTGCGTCAATCAAAGCCACAAGGCTCCTGCTTGTTTCAGCACGGGAACCAACTCTCCACTAATATGAGTCGCCATAATCTTATCCAACCCCCCAAACAACTTCCCCCCAATAAACACAACCGGAAACTGCACTTTCGTCGCATCATCTCCGCCATCGCCTTTACAAGTCATCTCCAGCCGACTCAACGCCCCCGCTTCCTCCTCAACACCAACTTCATACACCGCCGGATTCACCCCGAGCGCCAGCAGCAACCGCCGTACCACATGGCTCATGCAGCACCCTTTCCGGGCAATCACGATGACCGCGTTTTCCGACACCATATCGAGCACGTCAGTCTGTGCGGTAGGTGGCGACGGAGGACGGTGTGCTGCGGCAGAGGAGGTGGGGGAGTGGAGGGGGGGCCATGGCTTGTAAGGGATTGCCTGTTGCATTGTGTGATATTTAGATGGGTATGGTGAAGTGTGGTGTTGGGAAGAAGGGGAAAGGGGTATATAAATTGTGTTGTGGGGACTGAGCAGTAGGGGATGACTTAAGATTTTTGAAGGGGTCGGCGTCAACGGCAGTTAGGCATTTTCTGTGGGTACGCGGTGTGCATTGGTTGGTGGCTGACGTTAAGCATCTGTCATTCATTTGTTGGTGTTTAGTGTTTTTGATTACGTAATTTACGGCTGTTTGCCTTTACTTTTTTGCTTATAACCGATTGAGCAGTGCTAGGGGCACTCGCCTCCTGCGCTCTCCAGCCAACACATGCCTTTTTATTGGGCCACGTAAGCTTGCTTCTGCTGTGAAATTGATTACCTCTCCAACTAACATAACGTGGCCCAATGAAAATGGAAGTGTTGGTTGGAGAGTGCAAATGGCGAGTGTTCCTAGCCGTTTTTACTTTTTACTAAAGAAGTTCTGGCGGTACCTGATTTTCTTTTAAAAATAAAATATTACGTATTAGTTTGAGTTATATAAATTAAATTGTTAGATGAAATAAATTTATAATGTTATAAATTATTTTTTATATTTAATAATAATTTTATATTTTTATTTTATAATTTAATGTAATTTTTTTAAAATATTTTGACATGAGACATATTCGAAACTGGTGAGGAGAGGTAAAGGTGCACCTATTCGATGACTAATACTATTGGATTCTAAAGTAAGTACAATTTAATGTAATTTAACGATAAAATAAAATAACTCTTTATTTAATTATCTTTCCAAACAAGGATATCCAAGATTTTGCATTGTTTGGTTGGTTTATAGACACTGTTAAAAAAAATGGTCCCTCCGAGAATTTTACCCTAATCCTTTTATTTTATACAATGCTAGTTATGCTATTTCGACTTTTAACTTTTTAAATATTATTTTTTTATTCTTTAATTAATAAGAAAAATGATTTTATTTTATTTTTGGATATATTAAAGAATTAATTACTTGATATTATAAATATTTGAATCTCTTAACTTAAGTGAAAATTTTAAATTAATAGATACTAATTCAATTAAACTCAAACAATTATTGATAATAAATGATTTTATTAAGATGGTACAAAAAACACCTCAACCCTTTACATTATTATATCTTCATTCTATAAACCTACAC